GGCCCCCGAAGGAGGGCGGGGCAGGGAGCAGGGCCAGGATCGGGCCCCGGGGCGGGGCGGGGGGGGTAGGGGAAGGGATCAGGGCCGGGATCGGGCCCTGGGGTGGGGCTGGGAGGGATCAGGCACCGGAGCAGGGGCCGTGTGCAGTCGGCGCTACTGAGCGCGGCCGTTCTCATCCCGCAGGCGTCGGGGAACAAGGTGAGCCGGCAGTCCGTGCTGTGCGGAAGCCAGAACATCGTGCTGAATGGGAAGGTGGGTAGCGCCATGGCCCCAGCGCACGGGTGGGCATCTCCCGCCTCCCCGGCTGCCTCTTCCCGGCAGCAGTGCCTGCCCCCCTGTGGCACTGGAGTTGCTTGACCCCTGCCCGGGGCGAGTGCCGCACGGTCTGTCAGAGACACCGTGGGGGGGCAGGGAGCTGCAGAGCTCACAACGGGTCCAGCTCCCGCCTGAGGCAGGATCAGCTCTGTCCATCCAGCCCAGATACATCCAGTGTCGAAACTCTTCGCAAGATGCCTGTCGGCCCTGACAGCACCAGACCTCACACCCAGACCTGCCACCGCCTGGGGAGTTGAGACCACCAGTGTCCTGCTCCTATACCCCGTTGTTAACGTATGGAGATCCCAGGGAGAGGCCACATCCCTGCCACGGAGAAAGGCAAACCCTGCTCCCTCCAGGCCTTACCAGTCTGGCCAGGGGGTCGTGTACACCAGCCATGTGCCACTGTGAGCAGGGACATCCATTCGCCTCCAGCTGTACAGAGCCACGTCCATAATCGTGATGTGTAAGATTCATCGAATGCATCACAGGAGTACCCAGCTGATGGGCACCACGGTGTTGCCTCTTTGCTCGTCCCCAGGAGGGGAGGACTTGTAGCTAGTTTAGACCAGGCGTGTTTGAGTCCCCGTGTACGGGATCGCTGCACCCACCATGCCCTGTCTGTGCAAGGCGCTTAGTCTTTCTTTGCCTCAGCTTTGCAACTGGTAGAGTAGAGTTGAGAATTGCTCCCTGTGTGCAGGAGTCTTGAGGCTTCTATCATTTGTGTTGATACATTCACGAAAGAAGCTTTAAAAGTGCACCTGTATTTTCAGTTCTTATGCATGCACTTTGTGGGACGTGGCCACAGTTTGCTTGCTGTAGGGAGCGCAAGTGGGATAGCGGTGACAAAGTTGGGTGTTCCTTTGCCTAGAGGGAGCCTGGCAGATCTCAGCTTGGCCCTGTGTAACTTTCACTCATTTGGATGTTTCTCTCTCCATCCCACCCAGACCATAGTCATGAACGACTGCATTATTCGTGGTGATCTGGCCAATGTCCGGGTTGGACGACACTGCGTGGTGAAAAGCCGAAGCGTCATTAGACCACCCTTCAAGAAGTTCAGCAAGGGGTAAGAGAATCTGCTCCACCTGCAAGGCGGGTGTCAAACGCCAAGATGAATTTATAAGTGTGGGTCTTGCTGAGGCCTGACTTCAGGGGACCCTGTTTCCCTTGCCACAGTTCTGCAACTAACCCCTTTTAAATCGGCATTTTCTCCTCTTCCCATCTCTGCTTTATGAGTTAATAACTTCCTGTCGAACTGGAGCATGGAAATGCGGCTCTAATAACGAGGTGAAGTTGCAAGTTGCTTCAAATGAACTGCTAACAATTCTAAATGCAGACACGGTCCATTGCCCTGCATGTAAATCTGATAGGAAAACTAGATCTGTCTTCTGAGTCTGCGTACCAAGTTCATTCAAAATACCTCATCGCAGACATTAAGCATATACCACTAGGTGGCCCCTTGGAGCTCGGCAAGAACATCCTTCTGTTGCTTCTTGCTGTCTTTGCTTTATTCTCCCTTCTGCTTCTTACTAGGGCTTCTGATTTTCAAAGCTGGAGTTGGCAGCCAGCCCAAACCACGCAATTCAGATTGAAAGTGGGAAGCTGGGACTTCGTGCTATCAAGATTCTGCTCTCTCTTGGATGTTAACAGTAAAATGCAGTATTCGGAAGATACTTTCTAGTGGAGTATGAGATACCAATAACAGAACTGTTTAGGCCCATTGTGTGTTATGAGCGTCAAAAAGTTTGTCACTGCCCTAAGGAGTTCATGGTCTCCTGGGGCAATATCTGAAAGAAGTTGGTACTTGAGATTACCTCTTTCAGGCATAGCTAATTCTGTAAGAGTGGGGCCAGCCCTTTTGGCAGGCATGCTGCAAATCAGCATGCCAGATCTGCTGCTCTGCCTTCTCCTCCCTGGCAAATCTGCTCTGCTTTCTGCTCCCTGCCCTATCTCTGGTTGTGCTCTCTGTCTCTTCCCTGATCTGCCGTATGCCACATTCAGAGGCTGCTGATGCCACTTGTGACACCTGTGGCACACACCTTCTCTGCACTGACCTGAGTTTAGTATTAGTCGAGCCCTTGTGAAGGAGGACAGCAAATCCATGAAGCATTCCACAGGCAGGGAAAATATCAGTATTTCAGCATCTAGAAGATCATTAGAAATAAAGACACTGACACGTCAGCACTCCCTGGCCTGGCTGGCACTGCTGGCTCGTAGTCTGGTTGGGCTTGTTCTCGTGTATCCTTCCTCCTCCCTGCACAAGCCCCTAATAATAATTGATTAAAGAAGATTATCAGCTGGCTGATTTTGCAGACCTGCCTGGAAATCCCAAGGAAGTAACAGCAAGAAATGTACAATCTCTGGCCAAACATGCCTTGGCTTCAGGCTTGCCCTTGGCTGTTTGTTGTGACAGGGACAGTCCATGACGTACCTGTGGGTCTAATGCTGTTGTGGATTATGTGTGTGCTGCAGAGCCTGAGCAAATAACCCCCTTTCTCTCCCCAGCGTTGCTTTCTTCCCTCTCCACATTGGGGATCACGTCTTCATAGAAGAAGACTGCGTTGTCAATGCTGCCCAAATTGGTTCCTATGTTCACATAGGCAAGAACTGTGTCATTGTAAGTACCTTTGCTCATTCTTGTCTTTACACCTATCACGTGCTATTAAGGATGTGTTCTTCCTTCTCTTGCTGTCCTAGCACGCCAAGGAAATTCCCGTCCTTGTTTAAAGATGAATGTTTATTTAGGCTTGTGGTTTCTATCCAGTGGTGTAGGCTCTGGTCCATCTTACCAAAGAGAACCTGTGTTGCTGTGGGCAGTCATCACCTTGTTCACATTGTCCTCAGTAGCTCTCCCTTTGTTCTGCCTCTTGGAGCATAACAGTTCTCTGGGACAGAGATGCTGTTATATTTGGAAATGCCATCTAATGGGAGTGCACTCTCGTGCGGGTATCACTACATGCCTTGGGCTTCTGGGGGCAATGAAAGATGGAGCTCAGTGTGAGGAGCCTGCTGGACTGCTGCCTGTCTCCCATTTACCTGGGTGTCTCTTCTGCTCTGTAACAGAGCTTGGGTTGATTGCTCTGCTGAGCCCAGCGTTAGCGTAGGACACAGCATTTGCAGTTGGCTGTTAAATAACCGGTGCTGGCTGGTTCCTTAAAGGTCCCTGGCTATTATCATAGTGACATTCTCCTTGCCTGAGAGTCACTCTTTCCTTTGCGGCTGTGAAGGCTGATTGCCTTCTACGATCAGGTCACAAAGGCCATGGATGCAGGTGTCGCGGTGGATGTAGTCTTTCTGGACTTCAGCAAGGCCTTTGACACCGTCTCTCACCCCATCCTAGTTAAAAAACTAGG